CCTGGAGAGTATTACTTAAGGAGATGCCGTGAAGTGGGGCTTTTGCCAGGAACAAGTGTTTGTTTTTGGATTACACTCCCTTGGCTGTGAAGATTGCTTTTGCCTTGTTTTGAGGACTGTTCTTGGCTTGCCCTAGCCCTGAAGATTCTCCTTTTAAACCTGCCTTGCCCATCTTGTTTTGAGAAGTGTTTTTGGCCTTTTGGTTTGAACTGTGCCCTTGTTTGTGAACTGCGTTTGTCTGTTGTTTCACTGTGCCCTTTGGGAAAACTGCTCCTGGTCTTGGACCTTTGCCTTGCTCTGAGCCCTACCCTTGCTTTTTGTCTGGTCTTTTGCTTTGTGGACTGGTCAGGTAATTTATGGGCTGTTGTTTGGGGAACTGAGGGTAGAGCCTGAGTGGTCAGTGAAGGGTCAATTGTTTAACCCTTTTGAGGAGAAATAAAAGACTCTCTGGAGGCCTGCCTAGTGTTGCCCACTTGGGTCATAACATTGAGAGTCACAACTGAAAAATATTTATCAGCTTACAGCACTCACAGAAAAGTGAAAATAATAATGAAGCACAGTGTGAGACCCAGGAATGAGAAAATTGAAACAGAAAATGTTGTGCTGCTTGTTAACTTGGAATTGTAGTCATAGCATTATTTAAACGTAGAATTAACTACCCATGACTTATTTGGGTTGATAAAATTCATAGACTTTGATATAGGTGAGTACTTGTTTATCAAAGTCTAATTGAAAATTGCTACTTGCCAGTAAGAAACAGATACAGACTCACAACTAGAATGTGACAGACACAAATGCCCAATTTGTGAATATATCTGGAATATATTTCATGGCCTTCCGTTTTCATCTACAACTCCTTAACTCATATGTTCATCTTCCAATGTGGTATATGCTATCATCTGCATTTGAAATAAGGAAGGGTGCAATAGGCAGAAGGACACAATTATAGTATCAGAAATGTGTTGTTTCCATTCCTTTGTTTTTGGGTTACAAAGTAATATCGAGAAACTTCTGCTTGATTACTTGGGGAAGTAGGCTGTCCCACAAGATTCTGATTTGTTTCCCTCAATATTGATATTGACATGAAGATATTGGAAAGGATAATTTCCGGGCTAGGACTAGTTCCATTAATATGCTAATGATAGTTAGCTGTAATTATTCTTTCTGAGAACTCAGCTAGATAGTACTTGAGCTACTCTGAATATAAAGGAGTGTAAAATAAAATAAGATGCAGCTGTGTTTAGAGCAAAGACTACACTTTTATTTCTAGGAGCTGAATGTCAGGATATGTGAGATGCACCTTTTCTGGATGGGACTGCATCCCTGAAGAACATCTCTGCAGTCTGTGGATTCTCCAGCTCAACAGCCATATAATTTCAGTGAAGGAGATAAGTCATTTATTAAACTCAGTTGATACAGCAGTGTGTCCCATCTGGGAGGAAACGGACCAGTGGTTCAAGACTTGCAGTGTGCTCTTTGTCAGCCAACCCTTGAAGGTGACCTGTATCTAACTCAAAAAGCAATACTGTTAGTGGTAAGGGGATCTCATTTGAGTCCCATATTACCCCTGTGTTGAAATAACTTCATTTTTGAGCTTTTGAATATTAATGGAACAACTATGGGTCATGACACAAATATAATTAACATATTACAGAAATATTGAATCAACTCTTTCCTCTTCCTAGCAAAATGTGCAAAGCCACAACTGTTTATAGAAAAGTCCCATTAAGTTTTTTTTCCCCGTCTTTCCAAAACTTGATCTTTTTTCTGAGTCAGATCTCATGCTGTATGATCCAGTCCACATCTTTTCTTGACTGTGCTAGATTCAGTCCTTCCCAGCTAAACCTCTGGGCAATTTTAATAGAATGTAATATATGTAGTTTAGATTTGAACCATGGAATCGTTGGTGCTCTTTGAGCTTGAGTTGTCTTCCAGCACTATACACACCAGGCAAATAGCCAGTGCTAGCAAATTCCTTTTCATGTGTATTTCCCACCATATGCTTGCTTATCCTCTTGTAATCCCTTTCTCTCCAATATCTCTGCTGTGCAAGATGTAAGAAACCAGGTCAGTACAGAATAGTACTTACTAACTGACTATGATGACTGTAATGGTGAATATGTAACAGAGAAAGAGAGATACTGGTTGCAAAGTTATGTTTTCAGAACAATTTTAACTTTGAATTATTTATGCATGAGAAGGTTGGTAAGCAAGGTGTACTGGAACTCATTATTGTATCTTTTGAACTGGAAAATAATTATCTTGAGGAGATTGAAATGCTTTCCTTGAAATTGGTCAATTATCCCTGATTTTTCTTTTAGTGTAACATATTTATTTATTTATTTATTATAGCATATAACTATTACAATATGATTGTATCTGACTTATAAGAAACTTTGATCAACATCAAAGATAAGAAAAGTACAAAAATATGTAAAGAGTTATTGATTTAACTTTGTGGTACCCAGATTAAACATGACAATGAATACCTTGGTTACAGTTGATCATGCCCAAATCACATTGATATTTCAAATTCAACATGGGGTTGTTCTGGAAGAATGGTTAGTAATGATAATTTCAACAAAGTGCTGTTGCAAATATTGAGTAGAGTGATACAGTCAGAACATAAGCACTCATGTTATTTGCTGTGTAGTAGTTGCCATTATTTTCCTTTATGTATGCTTGTTACTTTGCCTGGATAGTATCATATAGGTTAAGTCCAAGCCGCATAATAATGTTTTGTGAGTATAAAGTGGCATTACTTCATGTGTGAATAGGCATAGCTGAGTTCATTGTTGGAAGAGAAAGGTGCAAATGAAATTAGTGAACCATTTTTAAAATTTAATAATTAAAAAAATATTCAGCAAAAAAATTTTCAGCAACATAATTAAGAAAAACTTTTATTTAAATTTTATGTGAAACCAATGAATTATTATACATTTACAAGAACAAATGTATAACAAAATATACATTTAAAAAGCTAAAAAATACAAACTAAAAAGAAAAGAAGAAATACTAAAATAATTTTATAAGAAAAATAATACATTACAATTTCTAATTTCACTACTCTTCTATGACACTAAAATAGAAGATCATATACAATATTAAACATGGTATAAAATCCAGTTTTAGCATATAGGATAAAATTGTGTGTTATTTGTAAGTATTTCAGTCTATATGTTCCATTTCCTTCTATTTTTTAATTGTACCATATCCTGATGGTACATTTTCTAACAATTTCAAAGATTCAAGGATAAAATGACCACTGAGTATTAGATACCCAAAATAGTCATAATAACACAGTTGGTTAAAATCTTAGTTTACTTCCTCTGAATTTAATGCATTTTATTTTATTCGTTGTTTTGGGGGAGTGTCTTCTAGCAATTGACTCCTGGCAATTGATTGACTAGTCCCTGTGGTGTTCTTGGTAAAGTTTTTCAGAAATGATTTGCCATCACTGCCTTCCTAGTCACCCAGCTGGCTTTATGCATAAGGTTTCTAATCTGATGCCTTAACTACCAACCCAAACTAATTCTTGCCTTAATCCCAGCTATGGGATATATTTGACACAGGAAAAGTAGCATTTGCAGCATGCTCGAGGTTTGTAAATCTCCTAGAGCGGTGCTGATGTGGTATTATTTTATCTCTGGTTATTTAGTTTTCTTGAAGATATGGACAGAATGATCCTCCATTTGATGTAGTAAACCCTTAGTTGTTTAGCGAACTGTGAAAAAATGCTATATAATTCTACTTGTTTGGACAACTCTGTTTGTTACATGTTCAAGCTGATAGATTTGAATAGTTTCTTGATGGTTCTTGGAACTGAAAGGCATCAAGGCAGACAATTCTTCAAAAGCTTTCGGAATAGGAAATAGAAAAGAGTCTTAGGTATTAGATCTATTTTTCAAGGGACGTGCAGTAATAAAATGGATAAAGGAGCTAGAGCTGTGATGGCGAAACTATGGCACGCGTGCCAGAGGTGGCACGCAGTGCCCTCTCTGATGGCATGTGAGCCATCGCCCCAGTTCAGCTCTGCTATGCATGCGCGTGCACTTCCCGCCGGCTAGCTGGTCTTTGGATCCCTGCCGCGCATGTGCAGGGGGCGGGGCACATGTGGGGGGCTGTGCACACATGGGTGGGGTGGTGCGCATGCAGGAATGCTGTGCGCACATGCATAGGGGATGGGACACGTGGGTTGCACATGTGCGGGCAGGGTGCATGCGCAGGGCCATGTGTGCATTGCATTTTGGGGGTTTGCGCACACTTTGGGGACTCAGTCCAAAAAAGTTTACTATCACTGAGCTAGAGTGATATGGTAGAACATTCAAAGAGAATCTGACTTAATATACCAGTCCTGGTTAAATTGTGATTCCCTTAAGACTTGAATGAAGCTTCTAGAACCCTGGCATCTAAATTGCAATGTTTAACATGACAGAAGGAGAAAATCATTATATTCATGGAGGGCAATCATTTAAATTACATTTAAAGTAATTTTCATTTAATAAAATGTATACTGCACTTAAATCTCATTTAACTTTTATATTAGCCCTGTCTTTTTTTAAGAGTGCAGATAATATGCATTTTTAGTGAAAGAGGAAATGAAGCAGTTTCTCTGTTACTTTCTTGCGCCAGCAGGTAACTATTATATAGTTGGGTAGACCTTAGCTGCAGCCTCTGGGTTGGCTGTTCAGATGAGTTATAATTAGTTGAATTTAGTCTGTTTTATGGGGATCATTTTAATTGAATTTTTCTTGTGTGCTTAAATGTATTTGCTTTTGTTAGTCATTACCCTTTGTTGGAAAAGCAGAGTAGAAATTCAGTAAATTAGCAAATTAACCACCTGAGGGTAACTTTGCTTTTTAAAAGAACAAATCTCATTTTAAAAATTCAACTTAATAGTTCTCTTCAGATCCCCATAATTAAGATTAAGATAGATTATAATGTTTCTAAGAGTGTTGGCAAAACAGGCTAATTTGTTTCTTCCTTGGTTTCACTTTCAGATCCCGAATTCAAGGATCTTGGGGTTTTGAAACCATTGCCAGGTCGGTATGTTCAGTTTTCCATAGCACTTCAAAACCTTTGTATTTGATCTGATTTTCTTCTTGCTTGATCTTTATGTTTTGTTGTTATTCAGTCTGTGAGTTTCAAATGGGAGGATCTGAAGGAATTGTGGAATCGGTGCAGATCGGAAAAGAAGGGAAAGCTTCTGATTCTGAGGCTGTTGATTGTAAATGGTACATCCGAGCACCACCACGATCCAAGGTCAGTTCTGCTCCATTCTTTGATTTGGGGTCATCATTTAATCAAGTGACTATATTAATACAGGAATTTATTGCTTTCTACAAATAGCTTTTGTTTAATAAGCTGTATCTATGAAACATGTAAACTTACATTCTTTGCAATACGGAAAAAGTTATAATCAGTGTAAATATTTTAAGTGGTATGGTAGATTTAGAGCAATTTGATGCGCAGACAATTTTTAGGTTTAGGCCCTTTCCTATGTATCAGTAAACATATCATTGTTTAATATTTTCAAGGACTCCAAAACGTTCAGTTAGTAATTCTGTAATATAAGTATCACTTTTCTAGAATTAAAGAACGTTTTGAAAGAAATGTCAGAATCATACTGTTCAATTGCCCTACCATGTTCTATTCACCCTCAATTTGCTAAAATTCAACTTTCACTGTCCTCTGCAGACTCTCCAATTTGTCAACATTCGTTTTAGAGGTGTCCAGAACTGGATACGGTATTCAGATGGGTACCTGATTGGGATAGAGTAGTTGGGACAATTAGTTCTCATGGTCTTCAATCTGTGTTCCTATTAATACATTGTAAAATTGCATGTCTTTTTAGCAGCTGCATCATGCTGTTGGTTCACATTCAACCTGTGATCTACTTACACGCCCAGAATCTTTTCACAAGTCTATCTGTGGACCTTTTTGAATCTATATATTTTTTAAAGTATAGGTCCATCCTCCTAAATTTGTGTCATCCTCAGATGTGATGATCATTATCAACTTGTTAATAAAAATGTTGAACAGCACAGAACTCTGTTTAGTACCTTTGACACTCCACTCAGTACTATGATCTAATTCAGTGTTTCTCAACCTTGGTAGCTTGAAGATGGGTGGACTTCAACTCCCAGAATCGCCCAGCCAGCAGCGCTGGCTGGGGGATTCTGGGAATTGAAGTCTACCCATCTTCAAGCTTCCAAGGTTGAGAAACACTGATCTAATTTGATATAGAGCCATTTAAGAGTACTCCCTTAACCATATTTCAGTCAATTATAAATGTCTACAGTTGTTTTCTACTTACATTGTCATTTTATTAATGAGGACATCATAAGAAGCTTTGCTGAACTTTTTGCTGAGGTCAAAATATTAAGTTAGTCACTCTGTCAAAAAAGGAGATGAGAGTAGCATTGCATGACTTGTTTATGGCAGATCCTTGATGACTCTTTTTAACTGTTGCACGCTTATGCAAAGACTCCCAGATATTCTGTTAAATTATCTGCTAAGGGATCTTGCTTGGTGTAGATATCAAGCTGAGAGGTTTGTAATTTTTTAGGATCTTCTCTTTTCTGAAAATAGACACCATTTGTTCTTGTTCAACCTTCTAAAACTTAACAGTCCCTGGGAGTTTTGAAAGATTATAATTAATGGTTTTGCTATCACCCCTACAACTTTCTTCCATATCTAGGATGTAATTTATTTGGCTCCCAAAAAATCATGTAATTTAAATTAGCTGAGTGATCTTGCTTGGCCTGAGATCATTTCCCACTTTCTACCAGTAGTACCATGGCTAGCTAGAGCTTCTCTATTCAGAGAGGAGACAGACCTAAAAAACACAATAAAACATTCTGCCTTCTCACCATCATCCATAACCTGTTCCTCGCTTTGTTTTTTCAACAGACCTACATTGTGTTTTTTTGTTTCCTTTCCTTTTTTTTCAGAGATATCTGAAATAATGTTTTCTATTCCTTGGGGCATTTCTTGCAAACCTCAGTTCATTCTCACCTAGTCTTTACCGATCTTTCTTTCTCTCATTATTTTGTTTTAATTCTGTCTGGTTTATTCCTGAGAATAAACTGCAAAATGGATATATGTCTGGGGTGTCAAACTCGATTTCATTAGCGGCTGCATATTTTGAAATGTATATGTGAACTACAGTATGTTATATACTTTTTCTACCATAAGTTGTACAAAGAGAGTAAGCACATTTTACATTAATTAAGTACTGTAGATAAGATGGTTTAGATTCCCTATATAGTTAGTGTCATTGATTCATGAGGCAACTAGTGTAGTCATGGGTTTCTTGAAATTTTTTACTGGATTATGATGGAGAGATTTTGAGAAGTGGTTCTTATGATTCCAAGGGTAGACATTAGGAGTGACGAGGGAGACAAATGATGACTTATGTGTGATGTAATGACATAAATGTTCACTTATGTACTCTCATTAGACATTTTGAGAGAGACATGCAAGTAATTACCTTATTAAATTGACATTGTTGAAGACGTTGTTGTCTTTTGTTGTAGAAAGTAGGATTAAGGGGCACAATGGGTCCAGTCATACTTCTGTTGGCAGGATCAGGATAATTTGTTTTTCCCCAGGTTTGAGTAGGTTGTCTTGGAGCAGTTTTTTTGCTTTTTTAAAAATATTTACACAAAGTTGCTTTTGCTGTTTGTTATTGGCCATAACAAAAAGATGCAGATACCATGTATGCTTCTGGAACCATAGATTTCTCTCCTGTATCATACAACATACAACTATACTTTGATAATGTGACATACAAATTCATACTCTCTACATACCAACAATAGGATATCACATTAGTCATATATGATGTATGTGCATGTGCATGTGAAGATGGGATTCCGTGAATAATTATTCTAATATAGTTCTTCTTCTATAGTATGTTGCCTTTATTTTTATTGATTTTTTTCCACATATATGTAAACTCTTATTTTAATTATTATGAAGATATTGATTTTTTTAAAATAATATGTCTAATTTAACAAAGTTAAGATAAAACAGATTTAAGGGTAGCCAGCTGATTTGGAGGGAATTTTCTTTTGTTTGTCAATCTAAAAATGATGATACAGGACTAAAATATATAATAGGAACTTATTTTAAAAGTATGGATAGAGAATTCCAGACATTCCCTATTTCTTGGAGATTTTTTTTTTGCATAGAGCTCCATTTGTTTTCATGCATCCTGTAACCTTAAAAAATAGGGTTTGACTCGCACAGTAGACACTGTTCTGAGAGTGCAAAGATTGTAGTTGGAATAGGCAAGCCTGACATGCCATATATCTTATTGCAATAGTGATTATTCGGATGTAATTTTTCATCAGATTGGATTAGTTGGAGTTATGTACACATTTTTCTTCTTTCTAGTAGTAGATGACTAAGCAAAATAATTATGAAGAAGTGGAATTCTAATTATGTAAAAGATGGACATGAATATGCAACTATATTAGTACAATAAGAAATATTGGGGTGGATGACATGCAAACTTTTATTTATTTATTGGTTTGATTTATATGCCACCTTTTTCCGGAGACTCAGGGCGGATTACAATGCGTTAAACAATAGCCTTCATACTTTTTGTATATACCTGCTTAGTAGGGCTTTGCCCCCCCCCAAAGCAGTGTTCTTTTTTATACAAAGTCAGCTTATTGCCCCCACAAACCGGGTCCTCATTTTACCTACCTCAAAACGATGGAAGGCTGAGTCAGCCTTGAGCCTGGTGAGATTTGAACTTGCAATAATTGCAGGCAGCTGGTGTTACTTAACAGTGCTTTAGTCTGCTGCGCCACCAAGGCTCTTTTAAGACCCTGAGTTAGCAAATACAACTTCGGACAGCAAAGAGGATAAATACCAGAAGTGCCCCCCTCCTCCCCAAAGATTAAGGTTATGAATATGAGAATGAAGCCATTCAGAGATTTTCTTTCCTATTTCCACTTTTAATGCTGTTGCTCCAAACCTGGAATGGCAAAGGAAGGTAAGAAGGAAAGAATGTTCTTCTCCCATTCTTTGGAAACATATAAATTTAATAAATAAGTAAACTGGCTTAACATAACTCATGTATTTTCTAACAATATGTCACACCAAGAGCACCATAGGGGTTGTATAAAATCTATTGCTCATGCCCAGAAATTACAACAGCACCATAATATGTAAGAGAGGTGGGCAGGTCATCAAGACCAGAAACAAATTCTTTATGAGCATATAAACCTCTCTTCAGTTAGAAACGAATAAACCATTTCTCCTTCTTAAATATGGGCTTTTGTTTTTGTCAGATTTCAAAGTCTTTAATATATTTGAGAGGAGATTTATTACTTTTCCAATAGATACGCTTTTGCTAGCTTCAGTGCGAATGAAATGAATGAATGAAAAGTGCAAAACTGTGGTGAACTTTGCTTGAATACAGACAGGCTCTTATGATGGTTTTCTGACTTGCCCAATCAATCTTGTCAACGCAAATGTACAGTGACTGATGAAACAGGATTTATCAAAAATGATTCACTGTGAAGAGCTTATGAGAGAGTTTTTACTGAAGTTATATGTTATTCAGAATTTGGAGTAATTAATTTTCTCTTAATATATGTCATTGGGTTATTGTGTTCAAATTAAAATTAAAAAAAAAACGCAGTTCAATCTGCATTGCCTTTTTATCATTTTAAAAATACCAACTTTAAAAGTGACAAGACAGTAATTTAAAACTGTAATACAATCAGGGCTACTAATTACGTATTAGTGGCCTAATTAGCTGTGGTGAGGTTATTTTATTCTTGTTGGTAACAGCGCTGCCATTTTGTAGTGACATTCCAAAGCTGAAACACCTCTGAAATCCTGTCCTTTATTTTGGTTAAAATTACAATACGATCAAATGGTTCAAAAAGTGGATTTTTCAGACATTTTAAAACAAGAATGTAGAACAGTGTGGATTTCCCTCCCTCAATCACATAAAAATGTTTCATAAGAAAGTACTTATAATGCAGGACATACAAGTGTAGGTTTCTAAAACAAGAAGGTTTCTAAAATAAGAAGATACCATCTTGCTCCATTTGAAGTCATATCAAATAAACAAAAACACTTGCTGGATTCATTTATATATTTGACTTAAGGCCAGAGATTTTTATGTCTTACATTATAACATATTTTTAAAAAATGGATAAAAGAAACCATGTGTGACCAGGCATAACACACTCCATGTACTACACAGAACACCCAACAGCAGCAGTAGGTAACAGTGG